AGCTTTCATTTTCCCAACAGTAAAGCAATGTATTTAAACATCCTTGTAGAGCTTCCACTTATGGCCAGGGTGACGCTACCACAGTGATCTTTACTTTTCTTTCAGCCTGTTTTCCTTAACGAAGTCTTAGTGAAACTGCCCACAGACCCTTCAAGTGATGAGCCAGTTTTCCACATATCGCACATTGACAGAGTTTACACGCTTAAAACTGACAACATTAACGAGCGGTGAGTAGTGAAAATGCAGATCTGAGATTAAACTTGTTGCAGATGGCTGCAAGCTGTGTTTCCAGCGAGCACACATGGGGTTTAAGAATAGGGTTTAATCTCACGTTCAGGAAATAAATTTTGTTTGACTCTCATTTGAAATTAGAAGTTTTATCTGATTTTGTTCTGCTTGTACGAGAGCTCTTGCAGTGGAATCCAGTCACATCTACTGCTCCTTGATGTTACAGTTGCACAGAATAGTTTTGGGCTGCAAAGTCCAGCAGTCTTTAATAAAACAGTGGCTCCACTTTCATTTATTAGGCTGATGTGGAAACGTGGCGTAAGATCAAAAACCTCTGTTGCTTTAGTCCTGGAACTAACTTGATTCATGATGCCTCTGAAACCCGGGGCGGGGAATGGCGAAAGCGATGGGGGCAGAGTCGCTGGTAGTGAGGAATTTCCTGCCTGTGGTATGACCCTGACTGTCGGGATTGCTCTTTGCAGCACTGCCTGGGTCCAGAAAATCAAAGCAGCGTCGGAGCAGTACATTGAAACTGAGAAGAAGAAACGTGAAAAGGCTTATCAAGGTACCTGCCGAGTTCTGTATTCCCCTGTGATCCCCCTGGACGCGTGGGCAGGGCCTTTTCCGGAGGGTGCCACAGTGTCTGTCCCTTGAGATCAGTTTGCTGGTTTCTACAGTTGTGACCAGCCTGTTTATTTCTGTCTGGCTGGCAGCTCGCTCACAGAAAACCTCAGGAATAGGACGTTTGATGGTGCACGTGATTGAAGCAACGGAGCTAAAGGCCTGTAAGCCCAACGGTAAGTGAGGGAAATCGTGTCAAATCACTTGGATGCCTGCAAGGTTTGGAAAGGGTTGCTGGGAGGAGTCTGGTGATTTGGGAAACACTGTGGTTTCAGCTACAGCCTCTGAATGAATTAGCTGTTATTTAGCTTCAGAGAACCAAGTGAAGAAGCAGCTCTGTGCTGCTCTAGGATATAGGGCTTGCCTGACCCATATCTTCTGGATAGCAGCATCAATGTGTGTCCAGGCACCCTCCAGACAGGGAGGGAGGTTTCTTCCTTTGCTGCAGAGATGTTTTACTGCTTGTTCTGTGTTCAGGGAAGAGCAACCCGTATTGTGAAATCAGCCTGGGCTCTCAGAGCTACACTACCAGGACCCTGCAGGACACCTTGAACCCCAAGTGGAACTTCAACTGCCAGTTCTTCATTAAGGATCTGTATCAGGATGTCCTGTGTATCACCATGTTTGACAGGGATCAGTTCTCACCCGACGGTAAGTGTGAACATTTGTTTTAAGAAAAGAACACTTTTTTTGTGACTTGGGGTACACAGTTCCTCAGCAGCGGTTCCAGGAGCTTGTAGGCACAATTGCTGACCGAGAAATGTTGTGTCAAAACAACCCCTCCTTGCTCAAGTGGTTCAACAGCCTTCCAGAGCCAGCAGCTCTGGGCAGTCAGGTTTGAGCCCGCTCTGGCTTTTGTGTCAGACACAGAATTATTTTGTCAGACCAGGGAGACAGAGAAGTTGAAAGCAGGAGTTTTTCTCTGTCGCTGTAAGTGCCCGAAAATAACGTGCCAGTTTCTGTTTGCACAGCAGCAGCTTGGTAACTTTCTTTTTTTGCTTGGAACTGAGCATGTTTTTGGCAGTTGGTGGCTTCTGCTGCTCTTTAAAAGGTGAAGTGCTTTTTCCAGGCTCTGCCACATCGTTGATTATTGCAGATCTGCAAGGTAGGGCCTTGATCCGAGTTGGAAGTAGAGCTCAGTCTTTTCTCCTGTCAGGTAAGGTGACTTTGCTGGGCTGCTTCTCCCCGTTGGACAGCCGAGTCTGTTGGGTTTGAGTTCATCGTAGACCTTTTAAAGCACAACACACACACACACGAAGATGTTCTATATAAAATGGCCACAAAGGGGGTTTGTAAATTCTGAATAGGACTGTAAACCCACTAGTGGCAGTGATTGTTCAAGGTCATTGTTCTTGTGAAAAGAATGATACATAAGCATAATTAAAAGTTGGCTGAGACAAAAATAGTTCAATTTTTTTTATTTTTGTAGCACTGCAGCTGGTTTGTAAACAGGTTCCATCACTTAACTCAGACCTCTAAGACAGAACTTTTGATATTGTGTTTCATAAAGGAAACTGTATTTTTAAAGCCCTTGGAGCAAACTGTGACATAAAGGCATGTTTTCCATCCTAGCTCCACAGCATTTTTGTCTTCTAAAAAGACCCTTTTCTGTCACTGCTGGCTGATGTCCACAGGGCTGTGTGCTGGTCAGACAGGGAGCTCGGGAGCAGTGCTCTGGACTGTGCAGCCTTGCTGCTTAACCTGACACTTTCAGACATTTTTAAGCTTAACATCTTTGCTTAATGAAATTTCTTATTCACTTGCCCAACAGATTTTTTGGGTCGCACTGAAGTTCCAGTAGCAAAAATCAGAACAGAACAAGAAAGCAAAGGCCCCACGACTAAACACTTACTGCTGCATGAAGTTCCAACAGGCGAAGTCTGGGTCCGTTTTGACCTGCAGCTCTTTGACCAGAAAACACTCCTCTAAGAACACTTTGTTAATTTATGAAGGACAACTGAAGCTGACAGCCTCAGCATTTTGTTTTTGTAAGAGATTCCTTGCCCGACGCTGGTTGTTAAGCAAGAGTTCCTGCTGCTTCCGTATTTCCTCTCAGCTCCTGGTTGCGTTTAGTTCCTTGCAGCGTTCCGAGTTGTTGCTGATCTATGCAAACACCACCGTTACTGTACAGACAGTACTATAGCTCAGTGCCTTTGTATGTCGTTAGAATATCTGGGGTTTGGATGCCAATGTTTCCATTTTCAGGGCCATAAAAAGTATTAAGTAGAAATGTGGCATCGAGACGTTTGTACATTTTACCACTTGGTCTAACCAATAGACTGAGGAATGGTTTAAGCTCAGCACTAGAATCATTCCATTTGAAACCTGAAAAGTGATATCCACTGGAATCTTCCCGTCTCAGGATGATAGTTTTAAAGGTGAAATGCTGAAGAAGCCTTAGCACTGGAGAAGTCTCCGATATATTGTATATTCTTTAATAATCAAGTGTAGTTCTTTACTTGACTTAGTTCTGCACTGAAATCAGTAACTGCTACTTGATTTTTCTTTCTGCTTCTGTTTGGTTCATCATTCTCTGCTGAGACAATGTGGTTGTGAAGAATAACTAGAAAAAAAATATTTTAAATACTGTGACCCACAATAATGTGGAAAAAACATTCTTCAGCTTTTATTTTTTTTTCCTATATGTAAGTTATTTGTGTACATTTCCTTGGTCTTGCAGACCTCCATGTGAACCTTGAAGCTTTGACATTGCCAACATGTATATAGAGAGTAAAATATAAGTTTATTAATGTAATTTGTCTACAGCTGTTTATTGATGCATAGTGATTTTTTAAAAGTATATTTTATTGTACAGGGAAATGTGAAGTAATGAGAAAAACTTAGAGGATTGAATTCAAGAAAAGTTTATTACAAGTTTAAAAGGTTTGCTCGGGGGAACTGTCACCCCAACACGCATCTGCAAAATGAGATTTGTTGAAAGCAAAAACTTTCTCATGGCACCAAAATCAGGGATGGTTAAAAAAAAATTTAAAAAAGTTTGTTTCTAAAGGGTTGGAGACATTGTCCCCGTTTTACTGCCTCCTGAAACTGCTTTGTTGGAACAGCACAGTGTGCAGTTCCGAGCAGCGCATGCCCTGGTTCTCCAGGGGTGCAGCAATACCTCCTGCTGTCTGACGGTTTCATACCCGATTCCCATCCGTGCACCCTCCTGGTACAGGGCTGAGTCAACCTCTGTTACTTGTAACACTTTTCTGTGGTTCAGTATTTCTAATCCTAAATAAAACTAAATCTTGGCAACCCTTGAGAGATTGTGTCTGTACAGTGGGTGTTTGGAGCTTCTTGAGCAAGCACAGAGAAAATTCTCATTGGCTTTGACACCAAAGCTGCTGTGCAGTCACACCAGCAGGGAGACAGGGACCACACTGGAACACGAGAGAAACCAGTTCGTAGGGCACTGGCACCACTTGTTGCTCAGCACTAGAGATTCCGTACAAGAGCACTTTCCATCTCCTGTCCCCTAACTGTTTCCTGCCTTCTCAGAACACTTGTTCCAGTTTGATTGTACACTGCCTCCAGGAGAGAGTCCTCTGAAACCTGGGTAGCAGCCTAACGTTATTTTGCTAATAGCATTTTGTAAGACATTCACTGTGGGAGTTCTGATAAAGATCTGAACAAACCAAACCATTATTTCCCTCTCAGTGCTTCTTAAGACACGCTTTTCTGCACATCTAACCACGCACATAGCCAGGAGCACCTCCTTCTCCTTCAAAGAGAGGGTCTGTTCTTAAATCTCAGTGACCTCTTTTAGCTTCATGCACAATTGCAAGAGCTGTAGCTAAAAGCTTTGCCATTCCCTCTGCCCAGGGGCAGCAGTCACACTTCTCATATGAAACACAGCGGACGCAGAGTGGTGGCTGTGGCCAGAGCTGGGATAACGGACAGATTCTCTACTGTGTGTGTAGACAAGGTGCCCACCAGACTTTTTTCTGACTTTTCTCACCAGTTCATCTCCTTTAATACAAAGACTCTGTCACCCTATAAACCAGAGAACATCAGCACTTGTCTTTGTAGAGCTGAGCCTATGTTAAACCTTCTAAAATAGTAGGTTTTGGCCTGTAGAGCATGAACTAGAGCTGGAAATGATAGGAGCAGCATCTCAAACCTTTCTTTGGCTGCTGGGTCACAGTACTTCAGCACCACACGTTGAAGGCAATGAGTTTATTGCAGTTTGCCAGGAGACCTGGCCTGTTAGCCCTTGCTTTGGTGGAAGATGTAACACAGATTTTTGCAAACGGTACCTCCTGATGGCTGTGCCTGCCGCTGCAGTCAGCTGGAGGACAGGGGACATCCTTGGCTCTCACCGTCTTTGTGGCAGCTGATGACTTTCTGCCTTTAAATAGAAGTAAAAACTCTTGCCAGTCCATGTAACACCAGCCCAGCACAGCTTCCTGCACTAGCTCTCTCCCACACTGAGTCACTCCAGGAAATGTTTGTCTTTGTGACCAGTTTCTTTCCAGAATGTGCCATTATCTCCTAACTGCTCCAAACATGCTGGAGTAAAACCTTGGGCCAGGAAGAGGAGTAAAACTCCAGGGCAGGGGCTGTGGGGGAGAAGAGTGGACCTGGTTCAGGAGGACATCAGGCTCCAGGTTGAGCTCTGATGTTTCTGTCACTGGGGAGCTGGAGTTCCCTTAATTCTTGTGTACTGCAATGGCAGAACCAGAGAGCTTTCAAACGGGGTCAATCAGAGCACTGGGACTTTAAAAAATAACATCATAATTTTTTAAAAAATCACTCCTTGCTGATCCCAACTGCTTCTCCATCAGGGCAGGCCAGCTGGGCTCTCTAGGGTTCTCAGCTTGGGCAGCTCCGTCACTGCTCCAGTTCAGTTCACCATTAATGAGGCCAACTGCATGTTGAGTCCAACCAGCCTGGGCACCAAAAAAAGCCCTGTCATGGACCTTGGCTGTGGGATGCAACTGTGCAGAGTGGTGTGCAGCTCCCTCAGCACAGGCTGCTCCTTCACAGGAGCGGCCTCATGGCTTGAGCCAGGACACACACCACATCACAACGGTCAACCAAAGGACACAAGGCCAAGGGAGCTGAGACAGTTCAGCCTGGAGAAGAGAAGGCTCAGGGGATCTCATCGGTGTGTGTGAACACCTGAAGGGAGGGTACAAAGAAGATGGAACCAGGCTCTTCTCAGGGGTGCCCAGTGACAGGCCCAGAGACCATGGGCACAAACAAACACTTCTCTACTGTGAGGGTGACCGAGGGCTGGCACAGGCTGCCCAGAGAGGTGGTGGAGTCTCCATCTTTACGCACAGGCTGCCCAGAGAGGTGGTGGAGTCTCCATCTTTACATACTCAAAAGCTGTCTGGACATGGTCCTGGGCAACCAGCTCTTAGGTGGCCCTGCTTGAGCAGGGGGGTTGGACCAGATGACTTCCAACCTCAACCATTCTGTGATATAAGTGATACAAATGTGATATAAATATGACCTCACTCTGCTCCCAAAATCTAGAAGCTCCTCACTCTGCTCCCAAAATCTAGAAACTAATAGCAAAAAAAAAACAAACCCCAAAACACCAAACAAACAAAAAAACAAAAGCAAGTATGAACATTAAATCCTTCCAGCTGTTCCAGTAAAGCACCCAGGAAATATTTCATGGCTTGACCTGTAGCACTGGCTGACCAGCTGCATGCAGAAAAATGTGTGAAACTCTCCACCAAAAGCCACTTCATTTCAAGGCTCAGCTTGACCATCAATACTCTACTTTAACACATCCTGCTGTCCACTCCACACCCGAAGGTGTCCCCTCCACCAATGCTCCTTTCTCAGGAGAAACACACAATAAAGCAGAATTCACCAGGAAACTCCAGTTGCAGCAAATACTCTGCTATGCAGCCAAGCAGAAGAGGCCTCATCCCCTGTAGCTGTTGTGCTGCCTCTCAGTGAACACACTGGCTCTTACCTCTTCTTCTGGCGGACCTCGCTAGCGATGTAGGCGTGCGGTACCTTCAGCCACTCAACTGCATTCATGCGTTGCCGGCTCAAAGGCAGCAGTGGCAGTTCTGCTTTACTGAGTTCACTCAGCTGTCTGGTAGAGCACGGTCTTCCTGGCAGGAGAATAACAAGTGTTTCACGTGAGCAGCTGCTGTCACAGGCAAGGAAGGCCCCCCAGGATGAAACGCTTCAAAGGGAGACCAGGGGTTTAAAGTACCTGTCTCACACTGCTTGACAATGCCTGCCTCAATACACTTCTTTTGAATGTCTTCTAACAGAGGATCCCGTAAAACTGGTACTGAAACCTGAGACAGAGACAGTTATTTCATGCTTACACACCAACACAAGCATTTTGTCAGAGTCTCGAGAGACCAAAGTCAGAGGTAAACGTCAAGGTACTGTTGGTGAGCAGGGAAGGAGCATCAGCCTCATTTTTTATGAATAAAAACCATAAGGCATGATCTGAGTGGCCTGAGGAATGCTGAGCATCTCAGCTCCTCAGACAGGCCAGAAAGAATTCAACTCTGCTGCAAAGTTAGATCCTAGACAAGAGATCTGATCTCCTGCAGGCAGCTGGTCACGATGAACCCTGCATGGCACATTGCAGTGAAGTGTCAGCTCAGTCCCCACAGCTGCTGAGGGCTCACAGCAGCCAGAAGGGATTTAGAGAATTGCACTTCATGGATTGTGTCCAAGTCCTACCTAACCCAAGTCTTTGGTGCATCTGAGTGAGCTTCTGTAAAGAATCTGCACTGACAGATTATTTCTTTCTACAGAGCACACACCCAGCTTGCCTGGGAGCTCACTGACCCTCATTAGACAGGATGTTTCCCATGCTGCCACAGTGAATTTGAGAGGAAGAAAACAAACCTCCCCACTCCCATTGCCTACTGTGCCTCCAGATCTGCGTTTAGTACAGAGCTAATCCATCTTCCTGGTGAAAAACATTTTCAAACTCTTGGGCTTAAATGCAGTAGGAGCTGTGAACAGAATCACACAGAATCACAGAATGTTGGGGATTGGAAGGGACCTCGAAAGATCATCCAGTCCAATCCCCCTGCCGGAGCAGGAACCTAAATGAAATCACACAGAACATATTTGTTCAGGTCATAAAACTAGAATGTGTTGCTCCACACCAGTCCCACAGCAGCACATCAGTAACACACTCTGTCTCCTCTCTAACCATTAACTTCCTGCTGCTCAAAGGGTGCCCCTAAACCTCACAGCATAAATAACCATCGCACCTTCCAGCAGTCTGTACGTGTCTTCAGGAACAACGGATCGTACTCTGATGGGTCATAAACTTCCAACGGCACGTAGACCTGTGGGAGAAGCAGGTAATGGGTCAGGTCTCAGGAGCTGTCGGTGATAAAACAGTGAGAGAGCAGCCAGGCTGGGTACTACAGAGTCAGGCATGGCATGAACACAGCACCAGAGGTGGTGGAGGAAAGGACTCCCACATTTTCACACGCTGCACCTCAGAAGGAAGGTGACTGAAGTGTAACAGGAAAATTCCTCCATCCATTTTAATTTCTCATCAGTGTAAATACATAATAAATTATTTCATGAAGCAACCAGAAATAATTTCAGGCTAAAATGCTGATCACAACGAGGGCAGTCAAGAAAATGGAGATTTTGTTCAAGGCAAAATGTTTTGACAGAGAAGGAAACAGGTAATAGAAAGAAAAAAAGAAAAAAGAAGTGACTGAGCCCCCACCAGCCACAGCCCTACAAGTTACCAGTCTGCAAGCTCCCAGTCCAGGCCCAAAGCATGCTTTTCTGTCTACAGAGAGGAGTAAAGACCTGAGCCACACCTAATGCTCCAGACCACAGCCTCATCTCGTTGAGAACTCTGCCTACTACAAACTTCATATTCTGCAGTTCAAGTTCCCTGGGACCAGAGTTA